GGCAAGAATTCATCTTTACTTTCATAAAAATAAGCCCATTTATGAACTGCAGGCAATGATCACATGTGCCAAGGTGGTTAACAATAGTGAAGCTACTACTACTATTGGTAACATTTGTGTTGTACATGTAGTTTGAGCACTTTGTGTGAGTGTTTGTATGTGCTGTGTGTACTGTAGTTTGTCTATGTGTACTGTGTTCGAGGGCTTGTTCACACCATTGCGGTGCATTAATCGCATGGCTCCGTGCGTTTGACACATGGTTGTGTGAGTTTCCTCCCACGCTCCAAAGAGATGCTGGTAGATACATTGTATGTGTGCATGTGAGACAGGAACCTTAGATTATAAGCTCATTGAGGGCAGGCGCTGATGTGAATGAATAGTACATAAAGCGTTGTGTAAATTGACAGTGCTATAAAAAAAAATCTATAATAGTAAAAAAAAAATACTGTGTGCATGTCCTTGTATGCATATGTGTATTTAGCTGATCCATCCTATCCTTTCCACCCCGACCAGTACTGATATATTTTTAAATACATTATAAAATATTTTCTCAGCATAGTGTAATTGGAAACAAGGTGTAGGAATGAAAATTTTTGTACCTATGGACACCAGCTTGATATGTTCTCTGTCCAGGAATTCCAGCGCCACCGACACATTCTCCAGCTTCATCTGCCTGAAGTTAGGTCTGGAGTGGTACTTTCTGTACATCTTCTTCTGACTCAGCACCTCTAGCAAGGCTATGAGCTTGAGACCATCGCCCAGATCTTTATGGAGGTCTCCAATGCGTTTGTTCATACATTTAAGATGCTCATTGCACCACCTGGTGAATGTGTTCTGCTGGATCTTCTTCCAGGGGGCATCTTCTGCCAGGTCCTTCTCTGTAGCTGGCATCTCGTCCGCTTCCTCGCCTTGATGAAACTGGTGTTGGTCGTAGTAATCGTTGGTGCTCATGATGACTTTAGATTTGCAGCTTCCTGCTTTTTATAAGGGGATCAACAAAAAAGGGAGGAGGAAAAAAAAATAAGGGGTGTAAGGATGGCTGGATCCAAACCCACACTATGAAATCGAGTTCAAGCTGCTGAAACAGACCTCAGCAATCAAATTAGTTCCCTTATTATTCGTCCTCTTGTTGGAAACAGTGAGATGTTTCTTGGCAAGTTGTGGTTAACACTTTCAGCAGGCTCAGAGAGAAGCGGGAGGGGTGTGAGGGTTATCCCAGAGTAATCAGCTTCCACCTTTCTCCTACCCTTCCTGTCTTCTGTTTCCTTTCAGTCAATCCTTGCTTTGTGGGGAGCAGAGGTGCACGGATAAATACAGCAGGGCTGGTTTGTGATAAAGATGTTTTGTCAGAGAACAGTTAGGGGGAAAAAAAAGAAGAGCTTCAGATAATAGAAACTGATGTAGCAGAAGCGCTGATCCACAGATGTACAAGTCCCAGCAAAAAATAGGAAGAAAAGTAGATGCAGAGGCAGCTGACAGCTGAACGCAGAGGGCTTTTAGCAAACTTGTTTGAAAGTGTGGAGACCAGGATGGTGTTGGTTTTAAAGAAAACTGATCCCCCTCCCTCCTTGGTCTTCTCTCCTTTTCCCTCCCCCCCCCAACGTCAGAGGCATGGACTCCCAGGAATGCCTTAGCCATGACCATATACAACTAAGATGAGTATTTTCTAATCCCCAGTGAGATAGTGAGCAAGAGCTGGATTGGGTGCTATGCATAGCATGGCCTGGGATTGGTTTACGTACACCATGCTTCAACTACTTGTAACATTTGAGTATTTTTAGACACCCATGTCAGGGAGGTCTGTCTGGAAAGGGAGGGGGGGGGGGTAGAGGGAAAGGGATCTTACAACACAAGTTAACAAAAGCAGCAGATGTAATGCAAGGGACACCACCACCACCCCCTCTATTAATCACCACCCAAAAACATACTGTCATCCCTATATACGCTATGTATGTAACTATTTTTAATCTGACGGGTCATTTTACCTTTAGATTTACGTGAAACTTAAAGTACTTTTAAGTGAAAACATTTGTCCATATTGAATCTGAAAATGTTGACTATAGTCGGTACTTGTTTTAGAAACAGCAAGCTCACGTAGGCAGCTGACGAGCACATTTTCACCTCATTCATTCATGTGCGTTTGCGCTACAAGCATTGGCATTTCCATTTCTTAAAGGCACGGTAAAGCTGGAACAGCGTACAAAAACTCTGCTCCAATGTCAGTTCTTATAAAACACAGCAAAATAGCTCTCATAATGAAAAATAAACTAGTAACATAATTCCAGCCTGGGGCACCCCTCGCCTGTAATACCCTGCGAAGCGCATTGTTTTGTCACCACATAAATCCGTCCTGTCATTCATGCAGGAGTAGGGTGTGTGTCATCCGTCCAGTCACTGTACGTGAGCAGTTTCCAGCAAGTTCTCGGTATAGAAATACAAGCAAACTATTTAGTGCAGCTGAAGTACCATTGGTGACTTCATGCAGGGACAAGGTCAGAGGTCACACCACTGACTCATGACATGCTTTAGTGACTGTACCCAGCAAAATGCTACAGGCAGGGAAGTAGTTAATGTTGGTCAGTATCATTCATAAACTGTCTGGGAATGCTCGTTCACGGTGACCCCCAGAATCAGGGATTTCCTTTGGGCTTCCACTTTAGATTTCCATCAACCAAATTACTTCCACTTTTATCTTCCATTTACCTAATAAGAGTACTTTGGCTGTTAACCCTTCACAAATCTCGAAGCAGTGTACTGCTGGAATATGAAGCTGGAGTAGAGCTTTAAAAATGGTATGGAATATATGAAATATGGAATGGAATACGCCAAGCTCCTAATTGTCCCTCATTCGAAGGGATTGTCCCTCCTTTGGAACCAAATGTTTTCCTCAGTTGTCCCTATTTTTGGTCTGATTTACAGATCTCTATATTATTTAACTAAACCAGTTATCTAACCCTTAAATAAGCCCATGTTTTATATTTAAAAGTTTAAAGGAAAGAAAAGTAGTAATAAAAAAAAAATTTTTTGGATAAACCAATCTTTTTTTGTGCATTAATCCTCATGGTTCATATTACGGGAGGTGTGACAGAGATGTGGCCTTTGTCTATATCAGGGTAGTTCCTATAATGAGGCAGCCTGAGGTGAAAGCACAGGAACACTCCTGGTCTATATACTTTGTACTATGGTTAGCACTTCTGCCTTGCAGAACTGGGGGTCCCTGCTTCAAATCCCGATCAGGACAACATCTACAAGGAGTTTGCATGTTCTCCCTGTGCTTATGTGGGTTTCCTCTGGGGATTTCAATTTTCTCCCACACTCCAAACACATGCTGGTAGGTTAACCCCTTCTTGGCCACAGATGTACCTAGTACGATATTGGCAGCCATGGTCGGATTTACTCTCTCTGCTGCCCCAAGGCCAGGTTCCTCAATGCTCCCCCTCCCCGCCAACCCCCCTTCCCCCAATGGAGAATTGCAACCAGATG